TGAGAAGGAGGAGGAAAGGCTTTGACAAAAATCACAAGTAGAGTTTTTGGAAGGAAATGCTCACGATGCAGTGCCTGGTGTTTTCTAGTTGTTCTAATTGAAGCTAAAGGGATGGGGTTAAGTTCTGACACTGTCATTTATATATAAGGCTCCTCTCTGGGCTTCAGATTCTTAAGCTGCAAAATAGGGATGATTCATAAGATCTTCCTCAGGCCTGTTATGAGGATGGGAATAGCTAAGACAGGTGAAATGCTTAGAACAGTGACTGCCCTTATCATGTGGGGTTCCTAGACTTTCAGATGGAGTTTCTTTTTGCCCTCCTGGGAAATTATAGGTGGGACAGGGGGAGGACAGTCCATGTGTACCCTTTCTGAGAGGCCCCTGGACCCATCTAGATCCCAGAAAGGGGTGGGAGTTTATGGAGGATTAGTTTACAGAGAGTTAAGGCACTGATGTGTGTTGAGGCATCCCTGCGGGCCAGGGAGGGATAAGGTGTTGGAAGAAGCATTGGTCCTGGGTCTGACACTCAGCTGGGCCCTGACCATTTGAGCCAAGACCACTAGTCACCTTATCACTATGGGAGAAAAGGAACTTCAGCCTGGTGAGGACTTTTAAAAGAGTGTTATGTCAATTAAACAAGAAATGAGCATCAATGCACTTTGTAATAAAAGCAAATTTCAGGACTGTAATGGTGAAAGAGAAAAACTATATAATCTCTGCTAGAGTGGGAAAGGGGGAACTCCTGGGCCTTTGGGGGCTTGGGTGTTGTAGAATTGCTCCTTGACCAGAACTGGGCTCTTCCATTTGATGACTTGAGGCAGGGGCAAGCCTCAAGCTTGGGGAGGCCCTCAGGGCTCCAGTCTTGCCGTGGGTCCTCCAGCTCTGGGATGGGCAAGTGATTTATGTAGGGATGTGGGCTGCCCAGTCCTTAGTCCACAGCTCAGACTGGGGAAGCTACAGGCTTGGGCCTACAGGAGCCAGGCCAACAGATGAAGCTGCAAGAGCAGCTTACGTGGCTGGCTGGCTCCAAGGAGGAGGAGGAGGAGGCAGCAGGGTTCAGAAAGCATCCAGTTTCCTGTCCTGGAGGCCAGGCCCTTTGCTTCAAGAGGTACAGAGAGAAGGAGGTGCTTGTCCAAACCAGAGTTCCAGAAGTCGAGGATTCTGCCAGACTGAAGGTCTGGTCCCAACCAAAGGCAAGGTCATCAACTACCTCTGCAGGGTGGGGAAGGGGATGGTGGTCCAGGTGTGATCTCCTGCCTGAGGAAGCTGGACCTCTGGAGGGGTCCACTCCACAGTGCCTCTGAGCTCTGGGTTCCCAGACGGCGGTAGGCAGCTGCCAGGGACCGGATAGAACCCACCTCCAGAAGCGCCCCCCCCCCCCATCCCCACTGTAGAGACACAGCAGCTGGGGAACTTCGAGGGCCTCACCAGGGCTTGGAAGACGTCGGAGGGCCCAAGACCAAGATCTACAACAGCCCCAGGGAAGCTTATTTTTAAAGGGAAGCTCTTTTTGTTCTTACGTTTTACCAACGTGAAAACTAATACCAATTTTTTCCTAATCAATTTTTTGCTGGTACTAAAGCAGCCAAACCAGTTCCCGGAACCCTGTGCCCTTTTGCCAGGGACTCGCCCCTTCCTTTCAGCCAGGACTCGTGATCGCCTTGGGGCGGCCCTGCCTCTGGCGGAGAAGTACTCGGCCGCAGACCGTCAGACCCGGGCGGGGTCTGCAGGCCACCGAGGCATCCCTCACCCCGCCGCCGCTCTCCGGAGCCGGGTTTTCTTGGGAAGCGAGGTGACTCCAGCGGATCCGCGCTTCTGGTGGCCCAGGCCCTGCTTCCGATTCCACTGAACACAACGCGCTCACCTTATCTCCGTGTCACCTCCCGGGGGTTCCACCCCCCTCACCCCCTCACTCCGGGCCGGCCCAGCCCGAGAGGAAGCGGAGCCGTGAGCTTTTGAAGTCCGGAGAATTTCAATCCCAGAGGAGCCGACGGGACCTAAGCCTGTCACCCAGCGGGGAGGGGACAGCAGGCCAGCGGTCGCGGGCAGGGGTCCTCCCCGAGGAGGGAGGTGGGAAGCGTTGGGGGCTGGGCCCGACCCCACTGAGGCTGCTATATCATCCCCTTTCCGGTTTTATGGGGTTGCCCAGACCTGGAGGATGCCGGCAACACTCCCTTCACGAATTTACTTTCCTTCTCGGTCGGTGTTGGGAAGAACCTTCAAGACACGGTGATAACCACGGTATTAAAATACCTGCCACCCCCAAGCCAAAACCAAACAACAAAAACCAGAAAGTATTTTCATCCAGTCCCCTCCTGTTTTCTTTTTCCTCGTGCTAAAAATCTGATCTCTTCATCTGATGTTGAGGAAGGGATGCTTTTGGAAGTGACATTTGGTTAACAAAATTTGCCTCCTGTGCCCAGGTTGCAAAAGGGCCCTAAGGACCGGGGAAATGGAGACGGCTTTGAAAGGGCAGAGGCGGGAGTCTGGAGAAGGATGGGGCGGAAGTGGGACTATGGGGGCGGGGGTCGTCCCTGAAGCTTCAGATCCAAGCCCGGAGGATGCAGCCCCCCTCCCGGAGTGTCTGTGTCTTGGCCTGAGCCTCCTTCCTGCTCAGGACGCAAGGGGAAGCCCCCTCAGTTGGGCCGGACCCAGGAAGAAGGCAGCAGTGGCACTTCTTGATCTCTCAATCCCACCCGCTTTCATCTAGCAGGGGAGAGCCAGAGCAGAGGATCAAACGCAGAGCATTCCCATTGAATGCAAAACGGGGGGCGGGGCGGGGGAGCCAGGAGTCTCTCTGAGGACCCAGCCCCAAAGAGGTGAGCACAGCGGGGGCTCCTGTGAGAAGGAGGAGGACGCCAAGGGAAGGACAACGTGGGCGCGCCCCAGGCCGGCTTTGGAAGGGCCCAACCGAGGGTGGGCAACTGTGGCAGCTCTAACACAAATGCTGGGGGGACTCGACTTTGCCGGGAAGGAGACAGAGCAAGCCAGATGGCCCCTCAGGCTCTGGCTGCTGGCTGGAAAGGGCAGGGCGTGACCGAATCCTCGAAATACTGCACCCGCAGCAAAAGGCTTCGGGATTTGATCCCCTCCACTCCCAGACACTCCTCTCACCCTTTAAATATCCCCCAGGATTTGGGGGCTCAGCAGATGGTGGCTTCGGGAGTCCCAGGGCGTGGAGATGTCTATGCGGACATTACCATCTGAATCCGTTCCACAAGTTAATGAGCATATTGTTGAATGAGGGGAGGTGGCGAGCAGGATGAGAAGGGATCTTTTCTCTCCTTGAAAGCCTCGCTTCTGCCACTTCCTCCATCAGCCCACAGATAGGAAGACTGAGGCAGGAAGACAGGGAGGAGAGGAGAGGAAAAGAAAAAGGAGGAGAGGAAAGGAGATAGAACGACAGAAAAGATAACGATAGAGGGACTTTTCTTTAGAATCTCAGAAATTGGGGCTTTGTCTTGGAACGTGGAGAAGGAGGGGGGCAGCCCTTGATGGTTTAAAGGTAGGTCTGAGGGGAGATGGAAGGAGAGTTGTGGGGGTCAAAGTACACAAAGGGGGCCAGCCTCCTCCCTCAGCAAAGTGGGGAGAGACCCAGCTCACCTGCCTGGCCCCAGCAGCCTGCTCAGAGCTGGCCAGGGGTCTGTTTCCTCCTGGGTTCGAGTTTACCTTCCCTGGAAGAAGACCTGAGAGGGAACTTGTGGGTGGCTGCTCCCAAAGACATCAAGTACAACAAATGCCCCTCTCCCCAGCTCTGCCATGCAGCTCCCCTCCTGTTCTCAAAGAGTCGTGAGAGCCCCCCAGTCACTAGCTCTTTCTGGGAATTTTTGGTGACGTCTCTCTCAGGACCCAATGCCTCGGAGGGAACACTGTGAGTCAAATCTCTGTGCAGCTCAGGCTCTCTGAACCCCTGCCCCAACTCTCTGGTGAGGAAAGTGCCTTCTCACAGCGAGGGCTCGGGCACTGCCGCTGGAGGGGCCGTGTTAGCCGGCGCCTCTTCACTCGGAAAACCTGTTTTGGGGGGAATTCGTTGACTCTGAATGAATACCTTAAAATATGGCCAAGAAAAGAAGAAAAGGCCACTCTTAGAACCTCTCCCCACTCTACATACCTGAAGTGTAGGCGAGGCCCCAGCAAATGGGAAAGCGATTTCTTCTACACCTGGAGGTCAAGCAGGGTTGTAGAAAGCTTAAGGCCACCTAGAAGGGGAGGGAAAATTAAAAAAAAAAAAAATAAGCAAACGTTGTGAGTCAGCAGCCAAGGCAGGGAAGAAAAATAGCAAGAGTGTGTGTGTGTGTGTGTGTGTGTGTGTGTGTGTGTTGTTTTGTTTTTGATTCCCAGGAGGAGGGAGATAGCTGGGGGGTGGGGGGTGGGTGAGGAAGAGAGAGGAAAGGATACCCCAGGCTCAAGCTCTCGGGGCAACTTGGAGGGAGGGCAGAATATGTTTTTCCCGTAGCTTGTAAAAAGACTGGAGCCCATTTGAGGTTAGCTCACCAGGGACAGGCGGTTGTAATAATGCCCGGAGAAGCTAGCCTTGCCACTCGGTCTTCACACTCCTAAAATACGGTTATGGGTTCTCTTATCAGTGTTAGATCAAGGCACCAAGTTAAGAAAACCAAAGCCAAAACAACAATAAAAAACAACCACCAAAAGCGTATTCAATTACCGAGTCCCGCAGCCCCTGCGGTACTCGCCGTGCGCATTAAGCTGTTTTCTTTCTGCGGAATTCCATTTGCATCCCCTCTGCCTGGGTGTCTCCCTCTCTCAGTGTGTGTGTCTCTCTGTTTTCACACTCTCCTCCCCATTCGAGCGAGGCCCACACCTGGCGCATCACTGCCGAGCCATTAGCTGCGGGTCTCCTTTCATCTTCGCTGTGGCAGACGTTTCTATTTATCCACTTGCGCTCGCCGAGTGGCGTCACCAGCGGTACTGTAATGACGATTGCAGCAGGAGGATGACAGCTTAGAAAGAAGAGGGCAATGGGGCTTCCTCCCAGAGGCGGTGCGGCACAGAGGAGCGGTCGCATCACAAGGTGACCCCAGCTCCCCACCGCCACCACCGCCGTCACCATCGACATCGCGCTCCGGCCGCTCCGCGCCCATTCAGTCGCCTGGCTTCTCTTTCTCCCTCCGGCAGCCAAGATCTGTCGGATCTCTGGGGACCCAGGGAGCCGGGGGCTAGGAGCTCACTTGGGGCTTTCCCCCTCCTCCCTCTAGAGAGCCCTGGGATGGAGAGCCGAAAGGACATGGTTATGTTTTTGGATGGGGGACAGCTTGGCACTCTGGTTGGCAAGAGGGTCTCCAATTTATCCGAAGCCGTGGGCAGCCCGCTACCGGAGCCGCCCGAGAAGATGGTGCCCCGTGGTTGCCTGAGCCCTCGGGCCGGTCCTCCGGCCTCCCGGGAGCGCAGCGGGGGAGGCGTGGAGGAGGAGCCGGACGACGGACTAGCAGGAAGCGCTGCGGGGCCGGGCACCGAGCCGCGGGCAGCCGGGGCAGCCGTGCTTGGCCCCGGGCCTCCGGCCCCCTCTGCAGACAGCATCTCGGGCCAGGGGCAACCCAGCAGCTCGGACACTGAGTCGGATTTCTATGAAGAAATCGAGGTGAGCTGCACCCCGGACTGCGCCACGGGGAACGCCGAGTACCAGCACAGCAAAGGTAGCCACCGCGCCCCCTTTCCGGGCCTCCCACCTCGCCCACCTTCCACTTCAGTTCTGGAGGGAAGGAAGACGCTCCTTCCTCCCCCCCTTCCCGGGCAGGGTGGTTGGGGGGATTCACTTGAGCAATTCTTCCCTGCTATCTGCGCCTTAGTGGGGGTCTCCTGTGCCTGGCATTGGCAGGACTGAGGGTGACAGCTATGCTTGGGGGTGGGGGGAGAAGGAAGACGAAAGCCCTGGGCTTGAAGGGGATTCACAGTGCACCCCAACCCCCCCCAGAGTTTTGTGGTACTGTTTCAACTGCGTCTGGCAGATACCTTCCCTGGTGGCGTGGGTGAGATCAAACGCGGGTGCCGGCAGTTTGTGGCTGGCGGGGTGTAAGGCGCATCCAGGCGCGGAAGCCGGGAGTCCATAAAAAACCGTAAAATCGTTGGCTGACCTGGGCCGCCTGGGTGCTGAGGCCCTTCCACCAGTTTGCACGTCGGTCAGAGGTCCAAATTACCTTGTCACTTCCCGGGCTTGGTGGCGCCAGGTCGGAAATGGTCCCAATGATCTAATTGCCTTTGGTCTCCGGTTGCATTTGAAAAGGCAGAGCTTGGCCCTCCCCCCTTCCCCTTTCCATCCTAGCCCCACATCTCCACCCCAAGGAAAAGGAGCTGCAGGGGGCAGGAGCCCCACCCTTCCCTGGGTTAGGCCCAAAGGAGGGGGAGCCTGTCACTTTGCTTGGATTGGAGATCCCCTCCCTGACCAGGGCCTAGTGTGGGGCGGTAGTGAATGGCCAGGAAGGGAGTCTCCCTGAGAGGGTGGGAAACTAGAGAGCCCACCAGCAGACACTCCTCCACAAAGCTATTGGGGTGGGTGGGAAGAGCCTACTATGGAAGAGCCTACCATCCCCTAGCCTTGGCAGCCAACTCCTTGTTGAGCCCCTCACCCCCCATTGCCGCCTCAACCCCGACTGCCTAACTATAGCATGGTCTTAGAACAACTCATACTCCACTCAAATATTCTAAGGTAATAGGGTACTCATGCACACGCTCCTATCCCATCCATGCAGCACATGCCACCACACAAAAGCAAGAACACATTTGTGCCCAGCATCCTACAATGCGCTAAGATCCAGAGTTCACAACACTCCAGCAGTGATGCATGTCAATTCACTTGCCCATCAATAAGCACAACCTTGCCCACTCTTGGCAATGGTGAGCAGAAAGCTCAAAGGGACTGCATCTCATCTGTGCCCAGGGCAGGTGTCTGGGGCTTCTGTACCCAGCAGACATTAGAGTCCTCCCAAACAGCAGCCCCACCACGCCTACAGGCTGCTATGTGCTCACCTGAATGGTGAGACCCTGTCCTCCGTTCCCACGTTCCTAAAGTCCCCAGCACCCCAGCAGAAGCAGTGACTGAGGCTACTGGGGTGGTGTGGGGGTGGGGTGAGTCCAATTCCACTCTGGGCCTACAGCCCCACATCAGCAGCCTTTTTGTGTCTGTTGTGTTGTCTGTGTGCGCGTGTGCTCTGGGCTCCCTGCGCAGGGCCGGGCTCCGAAGCATTGGCCAGCAGCCCCAGCAGCGGTAGCGAGGCCCCCAAGAGCAACGGTAGCGGCTCACAGGGCGCCCTGGCCTGCAGCGCCAGTGACCAGATGCGCCGTTACCGCACTGCCTTCACCCGGGAGCAGATTGCACGGCTGGAGAAGGAATTCTACAGGGAGAACTACGTATCCAGGCCACGGAGGTGCGAGCTGGCTGCCGCCCTAAACCTGCCAGAAACCACCATCAAGGTATGTGCTCCGGAGAACAGGGAGAGAGGGTGCGCCCACCCAGCAGGAAGGAAATACCACTACCCAGTTTCTAAATCGTGCGTGAGCCAGGAATCGGTGTCTGTGGTCTCCTCGCCCACGTGGCAGCTGGGCTGAGAGTGTCCAGGCCCGGTGCAGGCGCCAAGTGTGGCAGATTTACCCTCTGACAGTCCCCAGGCAGCCACTGCTGCCATGAGGTCGACTCTGTTCCCTTCCTAGCCGAATACACAGCAGGGATGGGGCAAGCAAGGGTCCCAAGGGAGAACCACTGGAAGGGGAGGTGTTTCGGGAGAAGCGCGGCCTGATGCCTCAGACCCGTGGGGGCCTTAGTCCCCCACTACTAGCGCACTGCCACTGGGCTTTGGCAGCCCGGGGATTTCTGGCTGCGGGGGCAGAGAGGAGGAAGGACAGACACTGGAATCACTGTCTGAGCCTCTCCTGGGGGGATTCCAGCTCCAGGTGGTGGTGGGATCAGCCCCCGCCCAGAGGCTCGCTCCCGTGGCTCTTCCCCAAGCCGCGGGCATCGCCCCCTGCAGTGGGGCAGGACTTCCGGGCTCGGTGCCCTGGGCCCAGGACAGCCACCTAGCCTGCGCCTGTCTTCCCCCAGGTGTGGTTTCAGAACCGGCGCATGAAGGACAAGCGGCAGCGGCTGGCCATGACGTGGCCACACCCGGCCGACCCCGCCTTCTACACGTACATGATGAGCCACGCGGCGGCCGCGGGCGGCCTGCCCTACCCCTTCCCGTCGCACCTGCCGCTGCCCTACTACTCGCCCGTGGGCCTGGGCGCCGCGTCCGCCGCCTCGGCCGCCGCCTCGCCCTTCAGCGGCCCGCTGCGCCCGCTCGACACCTTCCGCGTGCTGTCGCAGCCCTACCCGCGGCCCGAACTGCTGTGCGCCTTCCGCCACCCGCCGCTCTACCCGGGCCCGGCGCACGGACTGGGCGCCTCGGCCGGCGGCCCCTGCTCCTGCCTCGCCTGCCACAGCGGCCCCGCCAACGGGCTGGCGCCCCGCGCCGCCGCCGCCTCGGACTTCACCTGTGCCTCCACCTCCCGCTCGGACTCCTTCCTCACCTTCGCGCCCTCCGTGCTCAGCAAAGCATCCTCCGTCGCACTGGACCAGAGAGAGGAGGTGCCCCTCACCAGATAAGGGGCTGCCCGCGGGCTGCCGGCTCCAGGACGCCCGTGGGGGCCCCCCGGGGACTCAGCCAGTGCCCCTCCCCGCCCCAGGGCACCAAGGGGGAACGAAGAGGGCCGCAAAGGACCGTCGCTCAGTCTCGAGGATGGGACGCCCGGGAAACGGCCTTGGCTGGCGCGTTTGGGAGCAGGAGCGGGAATGGGGAGGCAGAGGCTGAGAGACCTTCCTCTGGGGCGGCCCCACTTTGCCATTCTTCATCGGACCCACTGCCCCCAAGTCGGGTTGAGGCCATGGCTCCAAAGCTAAACAAACTTAACAGCAAAAGCAACCAATATCCAGCCTCTAAGCCCCCTGCCCCTCACACCCCTTCCTCACTCGGGATATCCACTCCCCCCCCCCCCCAAAGTCAAGCCCAAGCACTGGAAAGGGAAATTGCTGTCTCTCTAAACAAAATGCTGTGTATGCAGAGCAGGTAGAGATTAATCTTTGCCAGCTTTTCCAAGGCATGGCAAGGGCTTGTGGATGGCAATGCACCAGCCATCTAGGGGAGTGAGTGAGAGAGATGATTTACTACCACGGAGAATCCTGGCCCTCCCATGGAACCTGGGGGCTCTCTTGCCTCCCTGGAGCCTCACTTACACATCTTCTGGTTCTGCCATTTACCAGCACCTGGTCTCTTCCCTCCTAGCTTCTTGGTATCTCTCAACTTGCAACTCCATCCCAACCCCCCACCCCACCACCACTCCACCCTGATTTTTGTTGAACGTTGGCAGGGAGGCTGCAGACCTCCCAGGACCCCTTGGCGACTTCTACCAAACCTCTTCTCCCTGGGCCCAACACACACCCTGATTAGTAAGTGATGTGTGTGTGAGGAGGGTTTTTGAATGTTGAATGTATAATAATGATCACCACGCAGTCGGCCAGAGCTGAGCTGTTAACAAGGCGCCCAGGGAAGAGCTCAGGGAGCTGGACCTCATCTCCCTCCCTCAGTATGTGCAGGCAAATTAGAGGCTATTTTCAACCTTTGCTTTTACCAGGAGCTTTCTGGCCCTTCCCTTTGCATTCGCCATTTTACAACATTCTTCCTCTCCTTTTCCTCCCAAGCGGCCACTGGGAGCCTTCTGCCCATTCTGGGGAAGTTTTCTTTCCCCTTCACCAGGTTTGTTTGGGAGCCACTCCCAAACTGCCACACTCATTCTTGCAGCCAGTTTTCTGAGGGATAGGAGAACATGTAACCCCCAATGCAAGCTTCACCCTAGCTGGGAGGGAGTGGTTCTCCTGTAGGGAATGAATTTGGTTTGGTTTTTCTTTGAAGTCCAAAGAATTTGCTGTTACAATTTGTTGACCATATTGCAATAAAAGCTGGACATGATTCTCACTTTAGTATTTTAATTTTTTTGGCAGCAGGCAGTAGGTTGACTCCTTTTGAATGGCTAGTTCAGCCACCTTAGGCTTGAGCAGGGAAGGGACCAAAAGATGGACCCACAGATGGAGAGTCTCCCAAATCTCTGTTGGGCATAGGCAGGCTCCACATAGACATTGCACAGAGGTAGAGAAGGCAGGCTCCAAGCTGCCCTTGGAGTAAGGGGCATGTTTCCTTACTTCTGTGCACGCTGGGAGCCTTCCAGGGCTAAACTGGCGGAGCACAGACTCCACTTGGGGCTCATCCCTGTCGTTTCCCTTTCCACTTGCTCCCACGCTTTGAGGAAAGAAGACTCTGGACTATAGTTTTTGTGGATTCTACCCCAACTCAAGTAGAGACAAATGAGGCAGTGGGGTGGGACTTGAGCATGGCAGAGAGCTGTGTTTGCTGGTCTGAAAATTAGGGTTCAGGGAGATGAGAGAGAGAGGACTCCTTGCTTGGGATGGAAGGGTCTGAATCATCCTCAAACTGGCAGTCTTCTCCAAGGATGGATTTCTGGGCTGGTCAGGGCAAGGGCACTGACAGTGCTTGGCAGCCACCTCACTCCCATCCTCCATCTCCATAGGAGAGCCACCGTGGCTGCCTCTGATGTCCTGCTCAAGTAGGGGAGAGATGGGTGTCCTCAGCAAGCTGGGAGCCAAAGGTCCTCTGCAGGTGTATCCATGGGCAGGTGTGGACTCCTCAATTGGCCTCTATCTTTCTTTGAGCTCCCGAGCAAACCCTTCTGCACATTGTGACACCCGCCCTCCCAAGCACAACCTTGTGCGGAGGTTTCCAGCATCCTTCTCGCTCCTCCCCGCCCCCTATCCCTGCGCAGCTCCTGCAGCCCGGAAGCTCCCGGTGCCAAATCCCGGCAAATTTCGCGGTTACTTCGCATTGGGCCGAGATTGCTTGCGACAGGTAAATGGGCTGCGGGTTGCCGTAATGCCAGGCGTATTTTCAGTTAATAGGGAGGGAAAATGAGGTGTCTGCAGCGATATTGGAAAGTACAAGATCGATGATCCGGCCTCGTGTCCAATCAGCAGCCTTTAATTGACTGTATTTTCTGGGTAATTGAGCCTCTCTTCTTCCAAATTGAAGTGGAAGATATAACAATACATCTTGCCAGGAGGAATTACTCATTACTTTATAATGAAATTTCCCTTTTGCCAAGGTTTGCGGTTTGGCACTAGGCATCACTTCTCACACTCCCTCGCCCACCCGCGACCTAAAAACAGGTTTGCCCGCCTGCACCCTGCAGCTGAAAGTGACCTGCTACCTCGGCGAGGGTGGGGGAAGGGAGGCTCACCATGAATAAGACACTGCCCCTCGACAGCTGCATCCTTTTCATCTGTAAAATGAGAAGGCTAAACCAAGCAACGTTTTCATTGTTCAACTTTCTGAGCGCTTCTACTTAGCTTTGCCCATTTCGGTCCCATATTGCAGGTGGGAAAACGGAGGCTTCTGATCTCACAGCTATTAGTGGCCCTGACACCTTTGAACTCCAGGCTCCGGCTTCCCATCCCTTGGCCTGAGCCTCTTTGGGGCCCACAGGCCAGGGTCACCCCTCTCGAAGTCTGACTTCCAACTTCCGACTCACACTTTCCCTGGGCTCCTTAACCGAGCAGGAACCGGGCGGGGTCTGGTAGCGCAGACCAGCGCTCCGCCGTGGTCAGCCGGCCCGCAAGACCAGCCTCCCGGCAGCTCCTCTGCGTGCTCAGCGCGGGGCCGTTGCCCGCTTGTTAGCGAGTGATTGATTGCCTTATTAAAGCGTGTTCTTGTAAGTGTGACCAAACTGATTGCATTGCATATGTTTGGGATAATGCTCATTTTAAACAACAGGGCAAAGAGGATGAGCTCGGCAAAGCCTCCAAAGACGAAATGATTCTGGCCAGCAGCTCCCTAACTCTGGCATTAAATTGCCCAGTTACATAGCAAATCACTTGGTTCCTCCACCCTTGTCCCATTTTTTTTCTGGCCTGCAGTTTGATCTAATTCCCCAGTGTGGTCTGCCCCACGGATGACTTCTCTAGTGACTATATGGGCTCTGTCTTCCCAGCTGGGAACCCTGCATCCGCCCATGCTGCACCCGCACACCCCAGACATCCAGTCCCCTGCCTCCATCCCAGGTAGAGGGAAAAGTGGTTCAGAATGCACCCTTTCACCCTAGGTCTCCCAGGGGAACGTGGCCCTTGGCGGTCACTGAAAATGGGAGCCTAGGTCCCCCACAGCAAGTTGCATGTCTCCACAACCCCACCCCCAGACCCTTCCTGAAAGTTTAAAAGATTCTTTTATTTCCCAGGCTTCTCCCGCTTGGTTGCTTCCATTATTCCTCAACTGAGAAAACCCCCACCACCATATGTTGGCCGAAGAGCATGGGTGTCACGGTGGACAGTTGTCAAGGGTGGCCAGAGGGATGACATTCTCCAAGTGGGAGGAGCTTTACTTTCTTAGTATGCTCTCCATGCACACCGCCCCGGAGTGAGAGAGGGAGGAATAGGAGTAAATGAGTGGTGGGGAGGGAAAAGGAGGTTGGGGCAAACAATTGGAATTTCTTCTAATTACTCCACTCTCAAACAATCGGTGTGGCCAGGTTCTCTTTCTGTTCCTGTTCCCTAACAAAGAAATCCTCAGCCAGCCTTCACCCACTCCAGTCGACTTGCAGGGAAGCCAAACTGCTGGCAGATTGAACTTCCTAAGGGACACCTTTGGGAAAGACTGAATTCTGATTTGTTCAAGATGATGATGGTCATCAGGACAAGTCAGAAATAATGCCAGTCTTCTGGGTGTCATTTGTAAATACAATTGCAGGGATTCGTTTGCAAGACCCAGCTAGAATGCCTCTGGATAAGTGACTTGATCCAAACGGCAAATTTCTTCCATCACTCAACTCCTCCCTGGCTCTGTGGGGGCAGGCACATCAGCCTGTATTACTAGGGTGAAACCAAGGCCCAGCTCACCATTTGTGCCAGCTTGCAGGACCTGGAAATGTTGACCCTTGGGCGGGGGGAAAAAAAAAAAAAAAGCCAACCACAAAATGCTCCCTACCATCTACAAAGCAAACAGAAACACAAACTTGTTTCCAAAATTGCCCTCTCAGCAAATAAGTATGTGATATTCTGAGCAGGAGCAGGAGAGAAAGATTGCCACTTAAAAATAACATGAAAGCATTAAGTAATTATTTAAAACAAGGCTGTTTAGAAAAATATTTGTATTTATTGCAGCTGCTCAATTGGCCTCGTTAAAGTCGGCAAGCATTTAAATTGTGTTACAATCTCACTTAAATCCCGCTCCGTTCCAGCAGGCTGAAGAACTTGAATAGACCAATCACTTCATAATGATGATGAATGAGAAATTAATTCAGATACAAGCAAGACAATTTAGGCCTTCATCTGTTTAAATAGCCTTCCAATATTATTCGCGATTGCGGGTCACAGATTGAATCAATTGTCCAATCTTGTGAAAGTCATATCCTTGCATCTTCATCCAGATTATTTATAGCGCAGTGATGGCTGCTGAAAGGTATACGCTGTTAACAGGGACAATTACTTAAAGGGAGGCGTTTATAAAATGGAAAACAAATGCCGGGGTTAGAAACAAATGGGATCAAAAGCAGCCATTCCAATCTGGCTCCCCGAGGAAAGGGAGCGGGTGCGGCTCCCGCAGGATGAGGTGCTCTCCAGGCTCGGCCTCTGGCTTCCTGGTGGCCCAGGTGAGGCCGGGTCT